CCCGAGGGGTGTGGGTTGATCCGTGAGCCCCGCATCCCCGCAGGCTGAGGGGGCCCTGTTAAAAATGGGGAAGGAGGCGCACGCCGTGTTGCTCGTTAATGTACTAATTCATTAACGCTGATGGAAACGGTGGGTCTTGTTCTGATGCGTGTGCCACTTGCTCCTAGCCCGCCTGTGGAAGCTACTGACCTTCGTGGTGGCTCTGCCCGGGGTCGCTGTCTGCATGCTCAACTGCTACCTGAAAGCACAGCAGGAGCACGAACGACCCGAATTTGTTCCCTACGCTCACCTCCGGATCAGGACCAAGGTACATTTACCAGCTCTCTTTAAAAGCCCTCTTTCTCTCCCGTGATTGCAGAGCTTCATCTGACGTTACTGCAGTGTGTCTTGCTTTCTTGTGTACTACATGGGGCGCTGCGTGTGTAGCCTTGATCTTAACTCGTGGCTTTGTTTCTGAGGCAGCGAGTTTCTCACAACTCAGATGAAGCACCCATGGTATCCACAGGCCTTCCTGCCACCAAGTAATCCTGGTAATGTCTCGCTGGAAAACATTTCAGTCCTGGAGCTGTGGTACTTACCTTAAACTAATGCAGATCTAAAAGCTAAGAGGAGATCCCAAACTTCCGAAACTGGGGTCCTCACAGTATAGGGCAGTTGATTAAGACAGAGCAAAGATCTTTTTGTCTAGAGATGGTGGCTCCCAGCTAAGGGAACTGTTTCAGCTCCTGCTCCCTGCAGCCCAGGAACAGACACCAGCTTGCTCATGAATTACATCAGCCTGTCAGGCTGTGATGTTTGGGTCCACGTTGCTGTTGATTTCTCGTGCTGCACAGATCGTTTAGGTAGCTGCCTGTGGCTTATCTTCTTTTTTCTTTCAACAGCCTTTCCCCTGGGGTGACGGGAACAAAACTCTATTCCACAACCCCCATGTTAATGCTCTCCCAACCGGTTATGAAGATGAACATTAAGATCCTGACCACAGCCAGAGCTTTGGCTCTTCCCATCTTGGACCAGAATGTTGTGTGGGAACCATTGTTTAGGGAACCATCGTTTAAGAGACTACATTCCTTCTGCGATGAAGCTGAATGGTGGTGTGGCCTCTGTACCTGTGTAGAGGTCCTTTAAATAAACAACTCTGAACTCGAATTTAGGATCTGACTTTTTTGTTAATCTGAACCCTTAGCAGTTCTTTAGTTCAGTGTTTGCTTAAAACTTTGAGGCTTCCCACAGGATACAGTGCAGGAGCAAGGGGGTTTGACTGCCTGAGTGTCAATACCTGTTCCTGTATCCAGTAACGCTGACACCAGGAATGCACTCAGCACAGGACATGACTCAGTTTCATGCTCTTCATGTCTGGTTTAACTGACCACTGTAAACCCACAGCTTACAGCCAGATGAATAGGTATCAGGCTAACATTGTAGATGATAATTCAGTACACACTGAAGCACGTTCTCCAGAACCAGCTATTGCAGTATTTTCTAAGCCAGGAAGGCAATTTTCTCTTAGCCCTTTCTGGGAGTGGGACTGGCAGCAAAGATGTTTAGTTAAGCTCCATCTGCCTTCATGATGTTAATCCTCAGCTCTCAAATTTTCTAGTATGTGAGCATGTATATTGCTTACAACTCCGCTTTTCATAAAGCTGCAGTCTGGTTGTACAAAGTCTCTCATACAGGTCTTGCAAATGAAAACAATTTTTTTGCTCCACTGTGTATGTCTGTATAATGTGTACTGTGTCACTCAGAAGCTGCTTCACCTAGAAGAGCTTAATTCTTCCATAGTTAAGTCAGCGCTAAAGCCCTGAGTCTTTCAGTACAATGTGAATTGTGAAGTTTTTCCTCTCTGTAAGTCAACCATTTCCCAATTCCTTCTACAGCTGCTACATTTTTTTTGCATGGTATGAAAAGCTATGTCTTCACTGTCAGTACTGTTTTTCCCAAAAGGAAGAATGCAGCAGCTGACTCAGCATCTTGCTGCTCAAAGGAGTGATGGATGGCGAGTAAGAATCTCAAAGTGGGCACTGCAGGACACCCCCTCCTCGTGTTTCAATGCAATTTATTTCATCCACGTAGTAGTGAAGTGACTGTTAAGACAAGCTTTTCTTTGTTAAAAGCACAGAACAAGGCACTGATGGGCACAGTTGTTTTAAAGCTGACAAAATAGCACAGCATTTATTCCTACATAAAGATCAAAGAAAAGCAAGCTTGAGTTATTCTTTTTAAAAGAAAAAAAGCCGCATACTTGACAGTCCCTAAAATGCTATTTATGGTGCTCTTAGACCTTCCCCTTAGCTTACTATTTTTATTTATACCTGAGCAACCCAGCAGTTTAAGCATTGACAGTTTGTTTTCTAAGTGTCACATTTAGCCCCTACCCTGACGTTGCACTCGCTGCATCACACCCAGGAGCGGGGCTAGCCCAGGCTACCTGGCTCTGCTCCAGCTGACGTGTTCAGCCCATCGCCGAAGGCATGGGGAACAAGAGCCCCAGCCTGCTGCAGTTCCCAATCCTCTGCACAAGTCCCACACTGCTCTCAGTGTCTGGGGCCACTACTGAGGGGCCGTGGTGCAGACAAGGCAGCTGTTATGTTTGAAAACAACTTCTTAAGACTTTCTTAAAGTAAAACCTCTGAATGATCCTTCAGGAAGTGCTTAAAAGCAAAGAGAGTGAAGCTCACCTTTCTCCTCTCACTGCAATTCTAGCAGAAATAAAGAGTTGACTTCTCTTTTGTCCCCAAGCTGTAACCCTCTCACTGCAATTCTAGCAGAAATAAAGAGCTGACTTCTCTTTTGTCCCCAGGCGATAGTATTTGTTATTTTGTCACCCATGATGGTGTAACACAAGAGGACAGCTTTTCCCCATCCCTGTATCAGGATCAACAGAAATCTCCTCCCCTGCTACAATGCTCCCAGGGCCACTGGACGGGATGGATTCTGATCACTTTCTTCTCTTCCAAACACCCTTTTTCTAGTTGCTGCAAGTGATTCTGCAGCTTACAAGCCAGAACAAGTAACTTTGTTTCCTTTCCTAGGTGTAAAGTACACCTG